CAAGTGATATTAAGTGATATTAGACAGTGCGGATTGTGACATAATCATTAGGTTTTTAAAGAAAATGAAATTGTATAATCAAATATAAGTGATACTTCTGAAAAATTCTAAATTGTAAACAACTTTGTAAAAACTTTATAGTTTATGTTTTATATTATTTATTATTATTACTATAGTGTATATTGTTTCACTGCTAATAACCTTCTATGGTTGATGCATGTTATTCCCCAATAAAACAAATTTTAAACTATTTTAAAAATGCTTATAAATTAATTCTCAATCTTCAGATATTTCTATAATAATGCATTTGAAAAATTTGCGAAAACACTAGTTTTAACACGTTCGCGGACAAAGCGGCATATGTCTCTACTTTCTGGGACAAAGCGCGATATCCCGTCTAATGTTGAGAACGGCCAAAACACAAGCGGGTTACCACGCACATTTTTATACATGAAATACTATTCAAGCACCTTAGGTGTCCCAGCAAATAACATAAAATATTGTGAACTGTCGTGTCGGTCAGTTTAGCTTTGAAATATTAGACGTGTGTTAGGCGGCGAGCACGTGGTACTATATCACTTAATTTTTGTTATTTTTTGTTGGTGTTTTGTTTATTTTGACTAGATTTGTTGGAGAATATTAAAAGTAAGTAATTGTTTTATTACGATTGTGTTATTTAGTAATTTGTTTGGTGCTTATCAGTAGTAGAGACAGTAATAAAATATTGAGGATATATTTTCGGTAAATATACTATTTTTTGTTTTTACAGAAAATGGATTCTAGAGAAAAAGCTAGGCTTCTTGGACTTATGGATCCATCATATCAACCCAGTAGTAGTAGTGAAGATTCGTTGGCAAACGAGAATCTGTTTTCAAACGAAAAGCACGAAGACAGAGTTGAGCCAGAAAATGACAAAACAGGTAATGATATACAAAATTTGCTAGAGGTGGGCGATATTGGAACTGATAACGAGTGGGATGATATTGCCGCAGGTATTCCAAATTTTTTGTTTGACGATTCCCAAAGTGATCTTCATCTAATTTTGACACAGGTACTCCTAAAGCTACAGACTATTTTTTTAACTTTTGGGATCAAGAAATTATGCAGCTAATTCTTGATTCAATAAACAAATACAATGAAATATTGACTAATGTAAATAGGCCCAAGCAAAAATACAGCAGAAAAGCATCCATTAGGCCATTTTCTATAAAGGAACTTCAATCATTTTTAGATATATGCATATTACAGGGTCAAATAAAATACCCCTCTGTAAGGAAGTTGTTTTCAACGAATCCACTTTATTATGCACCAGTTTTTCATTACATCCTATCTGGTAAAAGATTTGAAGAAATGCTGCGGTGTTTTAGCTGTGCTTGTAAAGAGGAAACAACAGAAACTAATCCACTAAAAAAAGTCAATCCTCTGCTCGATAAACTATTACTCAATTTTCAAAAAGCTTATTACCCTGCAGAAGAAATGTCACTAGATGAAACATTGCTTCTCTTTCGTGGTCGTCTGAGTTTTCGGGTGTATATCAAAGGAAAAAAAAGCGAAATATGGCATTAAGTTCTACGAGTTATGTACAGCAAACGGATACGTATTGAATATAAAATTTTATAAAGGAAAATCCGAAGATGTAGAAGGATTATCTAAAACTGAGTCGTTAGTACTGCAACTTATGGAACCTTATTTGGGTATACCGACAAAAGGACGCATAAAAAAGGACGCGGAAAAAAGGACGCGAGAAAAAAGGACGTATGGAAAAAAGGACGCGTGGAAAAAAGGACGCATGGAAAAAAGGACGCATATTATTAATGAAATACTATACATAGTTTATTTTAATTGACTATTGCAATTACCCCCCTTTATCCCCTATATACAATTACAGAAAATGATTCTACCTAACCTAAAATCGGTTACGGTAAAAGTAAAAAGTGAAAAATATTTATATGAAAAAAACTTGCCTTCACACTTTATCCAGGCTTAGGACTGGCAGCAGAAGCTGGCGTGTTTACAAGTTTTGTTTTATTTTTTTTTTAATTTTTTGCTGTTTTTGGAATTTTTTTGTCATTTTATTTTTTTTTTGTTTTATTTTTCTCTCAAATATTCTAAAGTTGGCCTGTCAGCATAATCGGCAACAATAGCCCTTATCCTGTTTGCTGTATCTTGATATTTTCTTTTGCGTGGAGGTACATTGCCCGAAATGTACTGCTCTATTGTCAAAACATTTAAATCATTTTCTTTTTTTAGAGAATTAATAAATTTTCAAATATTCGGATGTGCACTATTGAGAAGAGAAGACTAATATTGCCATCCTTCGACAGCATTATTAGTTAGATTTATATCTTGGTCTGCCAAATCGTAACAATTCCATACATTTGCTGGAAAAGGGGGTTGTCTTCGATTTCCTCTTCTAGCTAATCTCCCTATCCAAGTGTCTTCAAAGTAATTAATCAGCGGCACTAGTAGTTCTTCATTTTGTGTATAAAAATCGCTATTGAGCAACTCCTCGTACACTCTGACTACATGGTTGTCTGGAACAAACGCAAGAGCTGTCAATTGTCTTAGGTGAAGAGCGAAGTCAGGATTCTCAATATATCTACGTTGCAATCCGGCACTTTGAATATGGCGCCACATACACTGCGAGAAATTAAAAAAACATCCGCGGATTCTCACATTTGGGAACTTACTACGCCGTGGGTGGAGTGTTCCAGTTGTTGTGCAACTTCTTTCATCCGGTTACAAGCTTCTTTTGCTTCAATCTTTGCCGTGTCTGCAACGCGATTATGTTCTGTGGATTTTGTAATTTCATCCAACGGTATGCACTCTTCCTGTACATTTGCACTTATTATAAGTAGCACACTTCCAAATTGTCTTTTCACCCATCACTCGCTCATTTTTATGGAGAAATCCATTATAAAGTAACAAGTTGTTGCCTTTTTGGCTTTTCACAAACGCTAACACCATCTTAACAGACTGATATCAATTTGTAAAATGTTTTCTTGTTAAGAACAGAATAAATTACCTACCGCGACAAATTTTCCCTATATAAACAATTTGGTTAATGATGTTTTATTATATCGGACCTTTTGTAATATTCATTTCTTAAAAACAATTATCAAACAGTTAGAAAGTTTCATTTTCTTACTAATCGTTTCTATTTACATTCTTAACATTACCTGCGGAATTTACCAACCTTCCGGTTCGCGTTAAACCCTCATTAGACCCCTTAGTGGGCTGGTACTTGGGTTTTTCTAATCCCATACATAATTCTGATAATAAGGAATCTAACCTGTTTCAATACCAGAAATCTTGAATGAACATTATATTAGTATTTATTATTTTACTTAAGATATTTTAGTCCTAAGCCTCGATAAAATGTGAGGGCAAGTTTTTTTCATATAATTATTTTTCACTTTTTACTCTTACCGTAACCGATTTTAGGTTAGGTAGAATCATTTTCTGTAATAACATATGGGGATAAAAAGGGGGTAATGGCTAATGTCAATTAAAATAAACTATTTATAGTAATTCATTAATAATATGCGTCCTTTTTTCCACGCGTCCTTTTTATCGCGCGTCCTTTTTTCGCGCGTCCTTTTCTCCGCGTCCTTTGGTCTCGCGTCCTGTTTTTCGAGTCCTTTTGTCGTAGATTTCCCTATTTGGATAAAGGCCATAATTTATTCCATGATAACTTCTACAAAACATTTTGCTGTCAAAATCCCTTTTGGAAAGAAAAACTAATTCTACAGGAACTCTTAGACGAAACAGAAGAGGAAATACAAAAGCTCTTGTAAACACCAATTTTAAGAAAGAAGAACACAAATGGCGAAGAGACGGTAGCATCTACATTTCAAAGTAAAAGGATAAAAGGGAAGTTCTCTGCATAACAACCAAATATTACCCAAAACTTATAAACGTACAGAACAGGTTTGGAAAGACAGTAATAAAACCTGAAAAAGTTCCCAGGTACAATGAGTACATGTCAGGAATAGATAGGAGCGATCAAATGGTGAGTTATTATTATTTTCTACGGAAAACTATCAAGTGGTACAAAAAAGTGATGTTTCATTTACTGGATGTAGCTATATGGAATTCCTACTATGCAATGAAAAAGCACAAAAATGTAAAACTGACCCTTTTGGAATACAAAGAAAATTTGATAAGAAAATTATTGAACATTCCAGAAGATACGAATGATGGGAGAAAACTGATGCATAAGGGAGCTTTTCACGGTGGAAAACCGTGAAAATGGAAGCGAATATAGTTGTTAACACTAACGATGAACAACACTTTCCAAATATAATTTCACACCCTACAGACCCCCGCAAAACTCCCATGTGAGGTGTAAGTGGTGTTTAGGAAACAAAAAACGCAAGGAAACCAGATACTTGTGTAAAACGTGTGCCGATAAACCAGCAATTTGCATTATACCGTGTTTTGAACTTTACCACAAAAATTAAATTTTTGAATATTTGTATTATAATTTGTATTATAATATAATACTGTGTCTTATATTTTCATTATAAGGATATTTGTTTAATATTTTTTACAGAAATAAAGATTTAGTTGCATTTACTAATCGAGAGCGGCATGTACCGCGTTGTCCAGTTCTATGGACATAGCGGCATTTACCGCACCTTTTTTTATAAAAAACAACCTAAACATTCTGAAATATTATGAAACTACTTTTTTATGACAGAAAAATAACAAATTTTAAGATTTTTACAAGTGTGTTTTTTACGACCCCCTATAAGAACTAGGTGTCCGCGAACGTGTTAATTTTTTATTTATGCAAAAAATTTTCATAAACTATTAATCAAATTTATATAATACTCAAAGTATAAAAATATTTTAATATATTATTTGCGTTCTAGTGTACTCTGTAAAAAAACTGTATTTTTTCAATAGGATTTTACGTTATCGGAATAAAACCATTCTCTCTATACAATTCACCAATCCCTTTAATCAAATCCAAATTAACTCCCTTTTTGTTTCAGATTTGCTACGCCAAATCCTTAACAACCGAATGCCTCCATATCTAGTGGCTTTACAGGTAATTTTCCCGCACCTCTTATGTTGTTTGGTGATTTAACTCCAGGCAAAATGGTTTTGAAATTACACATCCGAAATATCTAACCGACTATCGGCAAAGTTTCCGTGACGGTTTTGTCTTTTATGTCACTACGATTGCACGATTTATTAACAGAGTAATTGGTTGTAATAAAAAATGAATTGGAAGCTTTCCTGTAACACTGTTGATGATAAAAACGTACAATGTTGCCGTATCGTGCACATTATAGTTGTGATGTTATTAGGAAAACATAATAATTAGTACAACTAAAAATTTATTTAACCCATGTGTGTATTATAATTACATATTAATTAAAATAATAAATTTTATATTTTATAAAATTATTTAACTATTATATTATAAAAAATTATAATTATTTGTTAATTAAAATTATTAAAATAAGTGACTTTTTAAAATAAAACAAGTATCGAAAAAATAACTACGTCCTACACAAAAGTAAACTTATTCCTTTATTAAACTTAACGGGGCTTGCAGTCTTACAGGTTAAAACTACAATCTAGATCAAAAGTCGACAAGTAATTTTAGGTAGGGTTCGGATACTATAGAAGAAAATTTAAATAAAGTCCAAAAAAAAAAACAAATGACAATATTTAATGACAGGATGTTTATTATTTTGGTACATTTTTAATGATAAAACAAAAGACCTTAAATATTAATGCGAAAAATTGCACCGACGGTCCTGAGATAGTTGTTGTGGTCTGATTCACTAGTCGAACAACTAATTCGAAGTCTATCTTCGAGGTGGGCGTCCGTTAATCGGGAGCAATATTTGTTTTTCAAAAAATTTATTTTTGAGAAATACGTTTCGCACATATACGTTGAGCCAAACATAATGGCCAAATTGATTGCAAGTTGTCGGCAATTTTCCTATTTTGCTGGCACATGTTTGGCCCAAAATTCTTCGACGGATACGGATTTATAAACGAGCAAGGACAAATCTTCTTGTAATTTAATAATCCCGATTTGAAGTATTTGAAGTAATGATTTTGACAGAATAAACAGCTTAGCAGCCACATGTCCATTTTCCTGCTGCATCAACTTTAAATGGTGATTTTAGAAATGAAGATAGTTTTCTTATCTGTGCAAAGACTTGGAGTCTTAAAGCAAAATTGTTCCTAAGATCGCCCAGAAATTTTACGAACACTGCAATGTTTTCTTAGAAGTACTCCTTATTTTTATTATATCTAAGAATAGTTGGAAAATGAATAAATTCTTGTGCAATATTTTTTTCTTCAAGGATATTTAGCTTACAACGACAATTAAACACGTTTTGTATCAGATCACATACTAATTTTCCATTTCCTTGTAACTCTGTGTTAAGCGTATTCAAATATTTTAAAATATCTTTTAGAAAAGCCACAACCAGCATGTTGCGCCTCTTTGTTATATACTAAATATACTGGCTCCCTGCGTATTTATATTTTGTAAGAAGGATCCTATCAATAACTTGACCTTTACTTAACCAACGAGCATTATTGTGTTTTAGTAAGAAAAATTCTTAAAATGTTGGTACTGAAGAGCAGAAAGAGATTTCATAAAATTAATTAACTTCACTAAACTGTCCATGACTTCTTTAAGTCTAGCAAGTTTTCCACAATGGGCTGCCTGGTATTATGCACTGATGCACATGTATATAATAGATGCGCAATATAAATTTTTATCCCTGATTCTCCTTCTTCTTCTTTAAGTTCCAACTTCTATCGAAGTTTGGAAATTATCATGGCTATGCAGACTCTGTCGACTGCCGCTCTAACAAGTTTTGCACTACTGCATTCAAACCAATCCCTCAAGTTCTTAAGCCAGGATATTCTTTGTCTTCCCACATTTCGCTTTCCTCGGATTTTGCCCTGCATAATAAGTTGTAATAAGGCGTATTTTTGCCATCTCATCACTTGTCCTAAGTACTCAAGTTTTCGTCTTTTAATAGTTAATAATATTTCCGCCTCATTTCCTATTCTTCTAGTTACTTCCACGTTTGACATTCTTCTGTAACACCAAAATTCAAAGGGGGTCAACTTATTCAGATGGACTTGTTTTAGTGTCCACGCTTCAAAGCCATAAAGAAGAGTAGAGAACACGTAACATCGAAGCATTCTCAGGCGTAGTTCTAACCTTATATCCCGACGACAAAAAAACTTTTTAAGTCTAGTGAATAATGAACGTGCTATTTCAATACGTGTCTTAATTTCTTTGATTTGGTCTACATCTGATCTTATCCATGTTCCTAAGTATTTATAGTTATTAACACTCTTAATTGCAGTATCTTCAATAGTCAATTGGATATTTGCATTTGCAGATTTATTCATGATCATGCAGTTTTCTTTAAATTCATCTTCAGACCGTACACACCTTTTTTTGTCAATTATTGCTGGGTTCCCATCAGTAGTGATCAAAATAATTTTATTATATCCAATGTTAAATTTAGAATTAACTTATCAATAACCTTGAATAGATCTTCTCCTCGAATGTTACCTTTCAGTGGCATAATTGCTAGCAACTCTTCACTAAAAATCTCAATGTACCTTTTGCAAAAGATTAAGAAGAGAGTTTTTAACATCCGCAGCTAAAATTTCCGTTCTTCATGTATTACTTGGCGCTGACAATGACATGCTATGAATTGCTGAGGCAACATCTTTTTTTCTTTAATAGAAAATGGATTTTGGTGTTTAATAAGTATCCAGCTTCGTAACGCTGTCTCTGTGGATTTTTCCAGCGAACTAGGATTTTTGTGCTTTTTTCGTAAGAATTATGATATGCTCGAAGTTTCTCTTTACGCGCCAGACTGCCAAGAGGAAAGGTTTTGTGGAACTGCTGATGATGCGTGGCGTCGCTTAACATTTCCACGTTTTACTAAGACGACAGTTTTATTGCATATAAGGCACATAAGAACCGCTTGCAGCCTATTAGGGTGTGCAGTGTAAAACAATATTGTTCAGTCCATTCTGCCAGAACTTCTTGGTCTGTCCACTTTTCTCCTCTTCGGATTCATATTAACGTAGACATAAAAAGATCGTTTATAAAACGAACGAAAACGAGAGGAAAACAAAATATATTACCGGTAGTTCCAGAGGTAGTGTATTACGTGCATGCCACTGACCAACTAGTGAGCGACTGTCAGTCAGTGGGCAACAGCGTTGCCAGGCACATAAATTTTAATTCCCAAATTGTGTTTTAAAAGTTGCCAGATTTTGAACAAAATTCCCAGGTTTATATATTTCAGTATTTCAGTTACTGTAAACATACAATATTATTATAAAACAAAATTTCATAATTTGTACATTGTTATTACGTTTATTTATCATTTCACTTCCTATAACAGCAGTTTTATTTTGAACTTGATTGACTCATCAATCGATATTCCGCAGTTCGGTCCGCAGTTCAACCTTTCGCGGTCCGAATTCGAACCGCGGTCCGCCTGTTGCCGACGGTTGCTCTAGATAATTATAAAAACTGACTACTAATTAATTTTTTTAAATCCTAATCCTAACACTTTCATTGCCGATCACGCCCCTAGGCGTGACCCTAGGACCTAGACCCTAGACTCTAGACGGGACCAGCAACAGTATCCTTTAAGTAAATTATTTCAGCCGGCTCTGCAGTTGAGCTGTTAATATTGTGTCGTCACGTAAATAAGACTTTGCTTGTGCCTATAATTTTGTTGGTTCTGCGATGTTTTGCTACAGTGCTGTAATATGTGACTTGAATATTAATAATTGTGTTGCTGGTCCGTCTAAGCCTAAAAGGGAGAAATTGTCAAGAAAGCCTCTGACCGACACATAATTACTTAGAAAACTAGAGTTCTTTTGATGATTACATAGACGATTCCGATGGTTATAGTGATTTGGTTGGAGGAAGTAAAAGTAATGAATCCTTGATTGATACTCAAGTGACATTGCCAAAGTTTTACAAACACAGAAACCCTCTCGTCTACTAGACAGTACTTTTGGATAGGCCACAGTTAATTCACAAAATACGTTTGATTCGATGAAACTCTCACGCTTTATTAAATAAGAAAAAAGGCTTATTTCTGTTCCTGGTAACCAACCAATTGATTACTTCAGATATTTGTTGATGGACAAATTCATTGACCACAATAAATCTAAAATAAATGAATATGTCAATTTTCTGGGCCCTAAAATAAAACAAAAATCGAGAATAACGGAGTGGAAAGAACTGACCAATAAAGAATTTTTAGTTTTTATTCGACTCGAGAATACTCGAGAAAGCCAGAGCCGCCTTTTATAAATTAAAGAAAATTCTGATTATTTATTAGAGATATTACGTTAAACCTTATATATATATATATATATATATATATATTACAGGATCCAATTTGTAAATAGAATACATCTTGAAGACGGCTATCGCCGTATTCCCGTCCTCCTCCGCCAATCCTCTCGGTCCAAGGCATGCTCCTCCTCCAAACCTTTCGATTCCATTGCTCTTCTAATACCTTCATTCCATGAGCGTCGAGGTCTACCTCTTTTTCTTCTACCAGGGGGCTTCCATCTGTGAAGTTTTTGGGGCCAACGTTCGTCAGGCATTCTTAACAGGTGTCCAAACCATTCTAAACCTCTTCTTTCTATTCTGTCTATGACCGTATCTGTAGCATTCATCTGATTTCTTATAGATTCGTTGGTTTTCCTTTCCAGCCTTGATGTTCTAGCACTTCTTCTCAAATAATCCATTTCAACTGCCAACAATCTTCTTTTCAGGTCTGCATTAATTGTCCATACTTCAGAGCCATAACAAAGAACTGATTCAACCATCGTTTGCCCTATTCTTTTTTTGTTCCTTTTGGAAATGTTGCGATCCCACCATAAGGAGTTCAAACATCCTACAATTTTATGTCCCTGATTAATTCGGTGTTTAATTTCTGTTTCACCCAAGCCGTTCTTATCAATGAATGCACCTAAATATTTAAATTTTTCCACTTGTGTGATTTCCACGTCCTCGTCTAT